AACTACAGCCATTATTTAAAATTAAATTATACGAATGCACACTCAAATAACATATTAAAAACAAAGACATTAAATACTCAAAACTTACCACCTTCTTCTTTTTTTTTTTTTAATGTTTATTTTTGAGAGAGAGAGAGAGAGACAGAGCATGAGCAGGGTATGGCCGAAAAAGAGGGAACCATAGGATCTGAAGCAAAAACTTAGTGCCTTCTTAATTGTTTTGTTACATTTCCCTATTATCTATGTTTTTGATGTTATTTATATCAATTATATCTGTATCATAGATATAATATGCGTACAATGTAATGGTGTGTGACTGCATAATGCTTCCCGTGCTGCATTCAGTGACGTCATATTGATGGCCTGATGGGAGTATTTACACTACACATATCAGCAAGTGCTACAAAGCACGGACCAACTGACTGTTGGTTATCCAAAGTCATGAAAGTGATGGTGAAAATGTTAATAATGCAGATTGAATTTAAAAGTGTTCTGTTTGGAGTTGTTACATTGTAACTAGTAGCACAATAAACTGAGGAAATATTCTTCTAGTATCTAAAAAGTGATGCATCTACCAAGTGAGGAACACCAAGGCTTGCTGCCAAACACAAGGAACTAGGAAGGGTCAAGAAAGGATCCTCCCCCAGAGCCTACAGAGAGAGAATTACCCTGCCACCACTTTGCTTCCAGATTTCTAGCCTCCAGAATTGTGAGACAATAAATTTCTGTTGCCTGGAAGCTTCCCTGTTTGTGGCATTTTATTACGGCAGCCTTAGGAGGCTAATAGAGTTGGGAAGGGTAAAACAATAATCCTGGATGATGCTCGGACCCCATGTTGGGAAAGTGTTTGTATCCTGATCCAACAGCACCTTTTTTACTATTTTAATACAGATGAAACCTGAAGTGCTCATGGGCAATGACCCTCCATTGTAGCTGCTCGGTGGGGCATGCCTATGGGAACTTTATGGGTCTCCAGATACGGAAATTCTCTGGAGTACTTGTAATTTACACTGGAGCGCTGATGGCCCTTGCCCCAGGAATAGATTGGAATAAGATATCTGGTAGTACAAATAACAAGGAAAGTAACTGTTTTGGATACCACCTGTGTCCTTTTAGATGGAAAGCAAGCCCTGCTATATAACAGCACACAACAGAATCCAGTTTCACTACAAGTCTGTAAAATGAGACAGAGCGTATAGCTTCATCCCCAACTGACTTGTAAATAAATGAGTCATGGCCAATTGTAATGACACCTGTCCATAATATCTGTTCATGAACTGGTTCTGTTAGGAAGGCATACCAAAAACCACTGAAATTCCGGGTTGTTGTTTTTTTTCCTGTAACTGAATTATACCATAACCATACTGCAATATGGTGTAACTCTGGCATTGGTATAGTCAATTACCGTATGTAAATAAGTCATAATACTGATATTGATGATTAAATGTACTAGGAGATAGACAAATCTTCCTTCAGATGTAATATTAACGGAAAAATGACTAGCCTGAGGAAGAAATGGATTTTGCTAACTATCAGCTAATTTCTGTGCCAAATAGTCTATACAACATTATCCTAAGGTACAAATAATACTGAATTAAAGGGGGAACAAATAATCAAAGTATTACATAAATGTGAAAATGTATGTAATACTTTATAGGATGACTTAGTTGCTTCTTTACTTCTATCCCTACTCCATACTGGATCATCGAAGTGTTAGGCATATTCATACTGATACTATTGCTGTACCAAATATGATTATTTTGCTCTAAGAAAGCTTGGGCCAAGAATTAGGGCTTGACCTGTGTAGTAAAGAATTAACTCTGCCTAAAGAAATGTTAGACTCTTGCCCAGCTTATGGGAGGTTACCTCGAAGGCCTTAGAGCATCCTGCCTGATGAGTGTCTTTGTTTACTTGGACTACAACAGGTAGTGCAATTTATAATGTAATTTATAGTGGGGTCTTTGAGCCATGTGCTATCAGCGTGACCTCTGGAGAGGCTAGACACAGTGCAACCGTGTGGTCCCTCAGTCATGTCTGTGTAACGGACCCCCAACAAAGCCCTGGACACCAAGGTTTGGGTGAGCTTCTTATATGTCAATACTCCATGCATGTAGTCACACACTGTTACTGGGAGAGATAAGCACTGTCTACACAATTCCACTGGAAGAAAACAAAGGAAGCTTGTGGCTGGAACTTTCATAGGCCTTGCTTGCCCTGTGTGTGCTTCTCTTTGCTGATTTTAATGTGTATCCTTTCACTGTAATAAACTGAAGCTGTGAACATACTAAAAAGTAAATAAATAAATAAATAAAAATTATTATCTGATTCAGCAAAGAAGTTGCTCATGTCATTGATGAATGAGTGAGACCTATTCCTTTGTTCATTTTTGTTTTACTTGTTCACATCAATGAAAACATCAATCAACATTCATATTGAATGTTTGTCAATTGTAATCATAGGTTGACTAAGAGCTTAGTAAAAATCTGTGAAAGTATTCTGTGAGAATCAACTGGCTAAATGGAATTTACAACAAAAAGTAGTATGTTCTATAATTTGTACATTGTGTGCTCTACGCACTATGTTATCAGTAAAATTTAGAATAAACATATTATTTTGTTTCCCTGAGAGAGCTATTCCTAAACATTTTCCAGCACACCACTGAGTATTTTCAAAGCAGCTGGAGAGAAAAGGTAAACTGTTGGGGTGCCTGAGTGGCTCAGTTGGTTAAGCACCTCACTTTGGCTCAGGTCATGATCTCACAGTCCGTGAGTTCCAGCCCCACGTCGGGCTCAGAGCCTGGAGCCTGTTTTGGATTCTGTGTCTCCCTCTCTCTCTGCCCCTCCCCTGCTCATGCTGTCTCTATCTCTCAAGAATAAATAAACATTTAAAAACATTTTTTTTAAAAAGAAAAGGTTAACTGTTTATAAAGAAATGACAAATTAGATCAACAATTTATTAACAACTACAACATCAACCCAGGAAAATGTGGAACAATATCTTGAGAGTACTAAGAAGATATATAAAAAAAAACAAAACTGAGAATTTTACAAATGAAAACCGTATTTAATGAGTAAGGGTAAAAAAAAGCCAATTTTTAGGTAAGTAAAAACTGAGGGTTTTACAAACCCCCACTAAAAGAAGTTTTAAAAGGAATACTTCCAAAATCTCAAATGTGAGAAGAAATGCTTGACAAACAAATGATAAGCTAAATAACACTGACTACGTAAAACAATGACAATAAGAATGTTCAGTTTGTGGGAATAAGAAAAGATAAAATAAAACTTAAAATATAAGTTGGGAGAGGGAAAGCAAATTTTAAATAATATTAATAGGTCCTTGTATTGTTCTGGGAGAAAGTAAAGATATTTCATGAAGTTTAGACTTCATTAAATTACATATACAAGTTGAATTTCTAGAGCAACCACTAGTAGAAATAGAGTGAATACATTTTAAACTTCTGTCAAGGGCCAGATAGTTAATATTTTAGGCCTTTTGGGTCTAGAGGCAAAGTTGAGGACATTATGTAGGTACTTATGTAGTAAGTGAGGAAAGTAATTTTTGCAAATATTTTAACAAGTCATTGAATATAAATTTCTTTTGTAATATAAGTCTACTAATAAGAAAAATAGAATTGTTTTTTGGGGGAGGACAACATTTCACTTAGGGTTCAAATTAGTGTTGCCATCATTAACTGATTGAGAATGAAAAGACAAAATAAATTCAACATAAAATAAAGTAAGAAAGGTGGAAAAAAGGATCATAGAAAAGGCAGGCTATAAAAGGATTCAACTCTCCTGTTAAAAGAGAGATCATCCAGATATGGATTTTTTTTTAATCTAGTTTATAGTCCCTCTGCACAAGAGATATGCTTAAAATATAAACACACAGCAAGGTGAAAATAAAGAGATGTAAGCTGACAGTTAAATGCTACCTAAAAGAAAGATCTTATCCCTTTATTTTTCTTTATTAATTTCAGAATTGGTTTTCTAAGGTTCATAAAAACTCTGTTGGGATCTTGATAAGAATAGCATTGATTTTATAGTATATTTCATTTCCTAAGTTGAATCTTCTCATCCATGACTATGGTATATATTCCCACTTAATTAAGTGTTAAATGTCCTCAATAATATGTGGTAATTTTCTCCATAAAGACTTTGCTTATCTTTTATTATTCTTTTTGGCACCTTATAGTTTTTGTTCTTCTTGTGAATGATATTTGTTTTCGATTACATTTTCTAATTGGTTATTGCTAGTAAATAGAAACTCCAGTGACTTTTTTCCACGTGATACAGCAACCTTGCCAACTTCCTTAATTTATTTGAAAAGCCAAACTAACACTAATAGTGATGCTTGTTAATAACAACGCAAAGTCTATAGACTAATTCATTCATCATGGCCACAAAAATTCTAGATAAAATACCATCAGATCAAACCCAGTTATTTATTAAAATAATAACACGCCATGAAAAAATGGTGCTATCATTCTTAATCTATAATGTGCATAAAGATGGTTCTAGGAGATTATTCAAAATTAAAATTCCTAGATTCGACTCACAAAGATGTAATTAAGATGGAATGAAGGCATCTGTATTTTTAAGTCTCTTCTCCCTGGAGACCCCTAGGCATTCATAATACATGTCTTTGTGGGATGAGGACTAAACTTTAGGAAATGCTGAAGAGGAGTTTGCTTTAAAAATGCAAAGATTATTCCTGTTGTTAAATAAGTCTCCATACTTCAATATATCAATAAAGAAGAAAAACCAACATACATTTTTAAATTTTAATAAAGTAAAGCAGCAACTAATAATTAACTCAAAGATTTGCCATGTAATGATGTTTACCATTAAGACCACGAAGCTAGGGAGGCTCACCAATATTAACCTACATTGTTTTGTGGTTTATTGGATACTAATGGGGGTGTGGAAGTCAGCTCTTGCCTACTCAGTATGTGAGCTTACAAAAAATCTACTGTAATTATTAGTATTTAAAATTTTTAAAAACATTTATTCATTTTTTGAGAGACAGAGACAGTGTGAGCAGAGGAAGGACAGAGAGAGAGGGAGACACGGAATCCAAAGCAGGCTCCAGGCTCTGAGCGGTCAGCACAGAGCCTAACGTGGGGCTCGAACTTACAAATGTGAGATCACGACCTAAGCTGAACGCTTAACTGACTGAGCCACCCAGGTGCCCCGAGATTCATCCGTATTTCTGTGTGTAGCTATAGGTCATGCATTCCCAGAGCTGTATAACATTTCATCATAGGACTAAACCATGCTAGGCATTCCACTGATGAATATTTGAATGGTTTCTAGTTTGGGAGAATTAAAAATAATGCTGCAAGAACAACTCTGTCCATGTGTCTTGGTGCGCACATCCATGCATTTCTGTTAGGCATATCCTTAGGAGTGGAACTGTTAGGTGAAAAGAAAATCGTTTGCTTGACGTTAGTAGTTATGCCCAGTTTTCAAAGCAGAAGTGACCGCTTACATGTCAACCACCAGTGTATGAGAATTCACTGTGCTTCACACCTTTGCCAAAATGTGGTATTGTGTCTTAAATTTTAGCCAAAAATGGTTGATCTGACTACATAAAAGTAAAACATTTCTGTATAAATAGAAAAATAAGTGGTGCTTATTAATAAGGAAATTAATACTTCACATATATCCAAATTTAAACTAACAACATTTCTCTGAAAATAAGTTAGATATGTAGATATTATCTGGAAGTGATATTCATGATACTTTGCTATAAAAAAAAGAGTATGTGGAAGAGTAAAAAAAAAAAAAAACAAAACCAAATCTAAATCAAAACCAAACAAATGAAAACCCTCTTTATATTTGTGTATGCATGAATGTATAAGTATAGAGCATACCAGGTTGTTAATATTTCTTATTTTCAGGGGTTTGGAGACCCAGAGTAATTTTGACTTCTTATAAAAGCATACATTAAGTTTGTCATTAAAAATTGGAAACAAGAAACAAACACCTGCAGCAGAAACAGAGACGATATGAACAAGGCACCACATTGGATATGGGTTTTATAAAAATGAATGATACAGAATTCCTTCAAAGTTTATCATCTGGAAGAGGAGACAGCTTGGTGGGGAGACTGCTCTTTCATTGCAGATTCAATTATTTCTGAGAGGTTAGCAAAAAAGATCACTTTTGTTCCACCACACAAACTCTCTATCACACAATAAATTTGAATTTGTAAATATTCAGTGTCATCTGTCTTTCCTTGAATTACCTTGAGAGAGCCTTCTAAAATAAAAGGAATCTTTTCCTTCTCGTTTTCTTTTTCTTTTTCTTGATCCGCTATCTCTCCTTTGCTCATTCCTTTGTTACCTAAAGCCAGAGAAAATTAAACTTCTTAGTGACTCTCTATGACAAAGGTTCATTGAAGGACCAAATGTCTGAACTGTAGGGGATCTCAAAGGCTATCAAGTTCAACTCTCCATTTATTCATTCCTGACTCCTTCTCGCTGTCGCCAGAGTGGGTGTCTGAAGTGGCACTGAGCTCCTCCAAGGATGAGGAACTCAACGACTGTGGAGAATGCATTCTATTCTCACTGTGTTGAGACCTTGAAGCTTTTACTGAAGTAGACTCTCTATCCATAGAGCTTTAACCTAATTAATCCTAGCTTAAGACCACACAGAACAAATCTAACTTTTTTTTTCCACATTGAAGCCCTCCTCTTGCTATAATAGTCCTTCTGTTTGGAAGATTTACAACTTTCCTCACTTAAGAGGTCTCAAACTGAATGCAATACCTACCAAGTGTATTTCAATCTCCAACTAACCGTATTCTGGATTTAACAGCATCTAGATAGTAATTAAACTTTTGGTTCTGTTCAGAAGCAGAATAAAGAAAAGGCAATTTTTCCTGGTCATAGGCAAGTGTGGCCCTAGACACTATTGTGAGAGGGTAGCCCTACCTCTCTTTATATAGTCCCATCCATCATCCCAGATACTTAGTGCTGTCCTTCTGTGCCCCCGTCAGGAGAAAGGCCAAACTGATGGATGAATTATATAACCATTTGAGTGGATGGTGACTGATTCATTAGAATTAAGTCAAACACAAATTCTTTTGGTAATTGACAGAAGTTGAAAAACCTTTGGAAAATATATAGCTTTGCTTCTTTATGAGAAACCATTCTCAACTTATGCTATCAGAAATAATGAATATTATTAACATGGAAACCATTCCCTAGTGAGATATCCTTATTTACCACACAGGTTACCTCATTGTTTTACTCCTTTATCAAGTATCCTTCCTCTTTTTTTCACTCTCTTCTCCATTCCCCAACAGCATCAAAGCCATGGAAATTAACAACAAAAATAAATATATATGTATTGGCTCCACCCCTTTTAAGTGCCTGCCACAAATCCTCAAGAATCCATTTTCCCTTTATTTCTAGATTCCTACTCCCAATTAGTCTTGAGATTCTTCTGATTGCTCTTCCAAGAAATGTCTTGTTTTAATCTCACTTTTGGAATCTATAAGTATTCTAATGGAAACATACTGACTCCGAATTTGCCTCATATATTGTCAACAAATCTTAGATAGCTGAAACTATCAACCCTACCAAAATGAAGACATCTGGCATTTCCCTAACATCACATTTAATCTGCAGGACAGATCGAATCTTCCAGATCTGGCAGGAGGTGGCATCAATATAAGACAAATATCCCATTATCCCATCACCAAATTGATCATATTTAGAACTCAGCTATTCTATTTTTTAGAGAAAGCAAAGAGTCACAGAAATTTGTAGGCAACTTGTTTTAATACTGAAATATTCAGTCTTGATTAAATTATCAAATGGAAGAATGTCTTGGGACTTTACGTGTAAGTTCAACCAGTGACTTACTTTTAGGTTTTTTAACAGAATACATTTTGTTAGAAGTGATTTTGGTAGTAGCAGAATATTTCAATTCCAGCTCGGCCTTTGTCCTAGTGATTTCCTCAGCCATTTTAGCTTCCTGATATATAGCTTCTTCTTTTATGATCCAATCTTGAATGGAGTTTGCAACAAGTTCCAAATAATTCCTAAAATTAAAAAAAAAAAAGCAAAGAAGAGAAAATGACAATCGAGTTACTGTTAAAGTCAGTAACACTTAAGACACCAACCATGCAAATAAACTTTGCAAAAATGAACTGATCCTAAATTGCCCATATACCAAATGCAATAGACTCAATTATATCCTGATGTAATTCGTACAAAGTCATCAAATATAAATATCCAGTGAGCATATGAACAATGCCCAACTTCATCCACAATTAAAGACATGCACATTTAAAAATGAGATGTTTCTAACCCAGTCAAGGATTCAAAAGTTTAATAACACCAAGAGTTGATGACAGTTTAGAGAAACAGTCACTCTCAGCACTGTTAGCTGGAGAGTAATAAGGTACAATCTCTTTTTAGAGCAATTTTATAGCATAATAGAAACTCTTTCAAGTGACGATAGCTAATTGACTGACTGGATTAATTGAAATGCTCCAGTCTTGCTGTAAACTTACTGGCCTGGGAATACCCACACTGTAAATACTGTGCCCTACGCTGCATGTGCACTTAGGCTCACATCTGTGAGTTGTTGCTCACCAGGGGTCAGTCACAGTTGTTCCCAAATCCATTCATTCTATTTATGTGGATGACTGTAATTATTTTTAATTAAATGTTGTATATACTTACAACATTTGAGTGTCCTTAGAGAGTTGTTTCTGAGGAAGTAAGTTGAAATATTTAGGTTGGATAATCAAGATTAGTTATTGTCAGATTGTGTGAAAGTGAGGCCTAAGGCTTGAAAAATAAAGCTACAGGGTTTCTATAGTCAGGCTGTTTCACAGTTTTCTCTCATTTTTGATTCCCTTTTAAAGAAATGAACTGAAAACCGTAGACTGTAAATTTGAGGTACTCAATATCTTCATTGGGAAGGGAAAAGACATCTCAAACTCAACCTTTCCCCAAATGAACCAATCTTCCTCTCTTAGCTGATGGCAAGTCTATACTTCAGTTGATCAGCCCAAATGCCCTGAAGTTATCCTTGACCACTGATTTTCTCACACTCCACTTCGCATCTGTTGGGAAATCCAAATGATTTTTTAAAGCACATATTTAAAACATATTCAAAATCTAATCATTTCTCATTTGCTTCACTGTTCTCTTCCTGGTCTAAGCCACCATCGCCCCTTGCTGGGATGACTACAGTAGCCCCCCAACTGGTCTCCCTGTACCTACCCTTAACCCCCTGTAGTCTATTCTCAACACAGAAGAGAGAGATGTTTTTCACTCTAAAGGCAGATCATGTCTCTCTCAGGTTCAGAACCTTTCGATGTGTCTGCCTTTCAAACAAAACCTAGAGTTCTTGCTATTTATTCATGATGAGGGAACACAGACTTGTACACAGCCCAATCAGTATTCAAATGAGATGACAAAATAAAGAATATTTCAGCATGCAATGACTCAGGAATTCCCCAGCCAGATACTTTCTGAAAGAATTAGTCACAAATGTACTCCAGCTGCATTGAAAAAATAAATCCAAGAAAGAAGACAATATGGTATATAAATAAAAGGGCTGAGGAAGAAAACAGTACAATTTGTAATTAAATGTAAATAATTATTTGTGCTCCTTGTCTGTGATTAAAAATATTACTTAACAGTTGGAAATAAAATTTCTAGACAATTTCAAAATGGCGATTTCTTGGGAGTAAGTAAAAATATGTTAAAAATTTTAACATCTGTGGAATGATATTCATACTCATTAGCTCCAATTACGATATAAAAATATTTAAATATGTGATTTAAAAGGATAACCTCTATAGGGATATTAATAGAATCTATAACTTTAAAAACATCACACACTAAGAATGAACTAAGAAAATTCAATCTAAGGATGAAAAGGGATTAATCCTAAAGTAGAAATATGCATGTAAAATTAAATGGTAAGAATGAGGCCAAACATATCACTTATAAAAATAGAAGTGAATAGATTCATTCTTTAAAATATAAAGTTTTAAAATATTGTTATTAATTATTAAATTAATTATAAAAATCTTTCAAAGACAGACGATCTCAGAGTAGCTGGAAAAATCCAAGGTAACACTGAAAAGACATGTATCTACAAATCAAAATGACGCAGAAAAATAAAAGGGTGGCAGATGGCTGGCTAGAAAGCCAGAGAAAGTCCAGCTCCTTGATGACTTAGGTGAGTAGCTGAACTACCCCTGAGATACTGCCCAATTCTAAATTTGTCACTACAGAAGAAAAAGAATTCCCTTATTAGGTTAGCCACTGTATTCCACTGTATTTCACTGTATTCCACTGTATTTCTATTAACATAGTGAGACACAATTCCCAGTTGACATGTAAAATTATTGAGAAAGTCCTATCAGTAAATTTCTGTATAAGAGACTATCCAACAATATTAATATCAAACGTGGTGAAATTCAAGGTGAAAAGCATTAAGGGGAACACAGAGAGACATTTGCTCATATTGATAAAAGTTACAATGCATTAAGAAGGATGCTTCTGAAATACAGATTCAAAAATAAGTTTAGACATACACACATATACACACAATACATGCAAAACTAACAGGAGAAATAGACAAAACTATAATCATAAAGATAGACGCTAATACATCTCTCTCAGGAATGGGCATTTATTGTGAGACGACTGTTTAATTTCATTCCGAAAGACATCCAAAATCCAAATGTCATACATGAATGTGTAGAACAAAAATCACCAAAAGTAACTGAAGAAGAAATAGAAATCCTGGATAAGAGATTAACTTTAGAAGAACTGCAAAGCTTGTAGATCATCTGTTCCTCATCCTTTCCCAATATTGTCTCTCCCATTGGGCTCTGCCATCCAGTCCGTAGGGAGCCACTACCTCTAAATAGTTTTCCATGTGAAGCATTCCTACCCTTCCCCAAATAATGTGCTATATTATGTAAGCTACTGTATATGTGAGCAAAGGATTAGCACACGACCTGTTTTCCCAGTTATTCTGTAAGCCCATTCTCTGTGTCTTTCTGTATCCCTTTAAACTAAAACAACGCTGTACAAATAAATAAATAAATACTGGATATACATTAACCGGCATTGAAAAAATAATGAAATGTTCTCATAATTACTGAGAGGACAGAGCAAAGCTTTAATATCATCAAGAAATAATTAAGGAGCTTGGCAGAAAAAAAACATCACTGATTCCTAGAGGTCTCAGTTTGCTGAGCACCTGACCGCTGTGTTGATATGTCACTCAGTTGCCCTACTTTGGAGTCTTCCCCAGATCAAGTGGAGTTATCCAAAACCAGCATGAAGAATGTCATGTGTTATAGTTTCTACTTGGAATCTTTCAGAGGCAGTTTTATTAGGGTCTAAATAAATCAAATGTAAGGTAATGAAATCCCCACTAGACTTAATGGCTCCAGGAATGATGTCTGTCTTGTTTATTTGGTATAGTTTTAATGCTTATTACAGTGCCTGGTACACCTCAAACATGCAACTTGATAAACTAAATTGAAGGTTTAGTGTTTGGCTTGAAGCACTTACCTTAGGCTAAGGAACTGAAAGCTAATTAACCAAGTAACTAACAAGCTAACTAAAATAAGACAATAATTAACTAAACTGTCCAAGGTGGTTACCTGAATCCAACATTGGAGTGAAGAGCAATATTCCAATATTCACAATGCAGACGTTGACTATTCATTGGATTATGAAAGACTAAAAGTAGAGAGTTGTCTTGCGTATGGTAGTAAGAATCAATCCACCTGTATTGCTGCCTGGCTTCTTGAAGAACCTGAAATCAAAATAATTACACTGTTGTGTCTTTTTTTCCATGAGAAGCATCTCCTGCTAAGGTATGTCTCTGCCCCCTTACCCTCATCCCTTTATTTCCACACTTAGTCTCACTGTTAGTGAGAACATCAGTGGTAGAATTTGGGGGGAACATTTCAGCAACTCTTACAGAAAATAAAATACTAGCCTGCAGGCATAGAGGCATTTGCTCAAGTGTTTTTTATTCAGGCTTGGAGATAATAATTAAGTCAAGCAGTTATTTAACGTTTTCCATGCCTTCATATAGATCATCTCATTTTCTCGTCATTAAAAACCTCGGATAAATAGGAACAATTATTTTTTCTATTTTGAAATATTAAAATCCTCATTTTTTCAGTGTAAACTGGGGCTGAGAAAGGATGAGAGGTTTGTCTAAGAAGATAGAGTTCGTAAGTCCTGGTGCCAGGACACCAGTCTCTGTGTCATCATTTTTGCACTCCAAAGAGTGCTCTCCACCACACCATGCTGTAGTACAGAGGAACAAGGTGCATGGTCTTTCTCATACATACTGTTTGCACGTGACTTCTAACCTTGGCCTTTTCCAAAACATTCCACCCTCAGCATGCACTGCGATCTCAGCTACTGACAGAGGGGCACAGAGGGCAGGGCACACTTTGTCCTGCTTCTATTTCACTGCCAATCAATATAAGGAAACATGTCCACAGGGAAATAAATTACACAGCTGTGGATTGTTGTTTTTGTTTTCGTTTTCAACATCAATCTCATGCAGGAACTTTCAGTTCTCTGCTGGTGGGTGATCTGAAGGCATGGAATTGCATATTATGTTAGGAAAGGACTGTTTTACTTTTGCTTTCAATTTTACACTGGTAGCATTACCAAAATAATACATTTACTTCCCGAATCTAGTCCCCTGTATGAGTGTCTTTATGGAGTGGTATTGAAACTATTACATCTGTTCCCCGAGAGGCAATACCAGAGACACACATGTGGTGAATATTTTTGCATTAATTTTGTTGTTGTTGTTACATAGGGTACTATTCATTACTTTACTTTTTGGAGATGCAAATTCCTTTTAGACTTTAAACCCCCAAACAAAACATGTTCATTTCTGATGAACATGTATCCTTCTTTCCATTAGAGAGCTCTATAAAATTTGTTTTCATGTTTACTTTGGCTGCTAGAATTTATAGCACTAAGTTTCTCAGAGCTATGGCTGCTCTCAATCAATGTTTGATAAGTTTTCAAATAGTATCCTTCCTCTCCATTTTTTTTTTTTACTATTTGGCTTTTCCCTATTATCCTATATTAATATTGTGGTGCCATGAACTTTAGTTAAATTTTTTTTTATTAAAAATAAACACATATTTATTGAAGCATTATTCACAGTAGCCAAGATATGGAGGCAACCCAACTGTCCAACCACAGAAGATGGATAAAGAAGATGTAAAATAGATAGATAGATAGATAGATAGATAGATAATGAAACCTTGCCATTTGCAACAACATGGATGGATCTGGAGGGTGCAATGTTAAGTGAAATAAGTCCGTCAGAGAAAGAAAAACACTATATTATTTCACTCATATGTGGAATTCAAGAAACAAAACAAAGGAAAAAGAGACAAACAAAAAACCAGACTCCTAAATACAGAGAGCAAACTGGTGACTGCCCAGAGGGGAGGTGGGTAGGGAATGGGTGAAATAGAGAAAGGGGATTAAAAGTACACTTAGTGGGATGAGCATTGAGAAATGTATAGACTAGTTGAATCATTATATTTTACACCTGAAACTAATATAACACTGTGTTATTTATAGTTCCGTTAAAAAATAAACACCTACTATGTGCCAGGTACTGTGTAGGCTCTTGGGGAAAAAATGAACAAGATAGATGAGATTTTCCTCTAAAATTTAATAAAGATTTTTACAGATCATCCTGGATTCAGGGAGGTGTCCTAAGCAGATGAAATTGATGGGAGTATCTGATTCATAGAATGGACTGGACGAGAGCAGAAGCAGGTTAATGATTAGGAGGATGTTGCAGGAGAAGAGGAGGGTGGCTGTAGCAACAGTGGAGGTGGTGAAGAACTTGAAGATATATTTTGAGGTACACCCTTCAAAATCTGACGATGGATCAGACATGAGGGATGCAGTCGAGCTGAGATAAGTGAGAACTCTTAGCCTTCTGGCTTGAAGGTGACATTTTCTGAGATGGATGAGGAGAGAAACATGCTCACGTGGGAAAATTATGAGCTTTGTGTGGGACCCTGAAGTTGAGATGCCTGTCATAAATTCAAGTGGAATTTGGAGTTAGGTATCCTAGTATGGAACTAAGAAATCATTTGGAAGATAAAATTGTAGCAGTCATTAGCATTAGGTCATAGATAATAGATGAAATCGTCACAAGGATGTTTGCAGAGGAGAGAAGAAGGTTCAGGGCTCAGACTCAAGCCATTTCGATATGTAGACATTAGGTCAACAAAAGTCCAAACAGAGCACTGAGGAGAAGTACAGTTTGGCACCTTGGAAACCGAGAGTGGGCAGTGTTTCACAGTGAAGTGATCAGCTCTGCGATGCTGTGAAAAGACCAAGGAAGATGAAGCAAGATAATTGTCCATTAGATGTGGCAGGACAGTGATTTATAAAGGGGTGAGGACAGAGCCAAATTGAAAAAAAGCCAAAGCCTGAAATGAACTTCCATTTTAAAGATGAGAGATGAAACCCATGTACTTCTTGACACCTCATTAAAAGAACAGTAGAATTACTGGGTTTTAGTACCACAAAGCTGAAGGTCACAGGAGAGGAGACAAAGGCAACAACAGTTGAGAAGCTGGAAAGCAGAAGGATAGGGGTAACTGCCGGTAGAAAGAAAATCAAATTCTAAGATTAATTTTACGAGAGGCCACAAGTAACCTTGTGCAGAAATGCAGAAAGGCTCAAGAAAGTACCAGAGCACTGCCCCACTCCGAGAGTGGGGTCAAGGAGACACTGAAAATAGGAAGATTAGAGTATTTTTAAGAAGCCGTTAGGGCCTCCGGAAGCCCTCGACGATTCTGAGCAACTAGGCGTCTGCCCATCTCCCACCTCAGCGGACAAAGGGAGGATTATGACCTATAGAAATGACCCCGTGGATTCTAAGAAGAGGGATCCCAGGCACTGCTAAGGGGAAGATGTGCTACAGAAAAAATGAGAATTGTTTAAAAGCATAAATTGACGTCCAAGAAATATAAGGTGACCCACATGTATAATTCTACACTTTATAGTAGCCGTAGTTTACAAGTAGAAAGAAACAGATAAGATTACTTTTTAAAATATATTTTATTTGGGGCGCCTGGGTGGCTCAGCCAGTTAAGCATCCAACTCTTGGTCTTGGCTCAGGTCATGAGCCCTGTGTCAGGTTCTGGGCCTACAGGGGGGAGCCTGCTTAGGGTTCTGTCTCTTCCTCTCTCTGCCCCTCCCCCACTCGTTCTCTGTCCTTCTCTTTCTCTCAAAATAAATAAATAAAAACCTAAACAAATATATATTTTATTTAACTCAATATGTCAAAAAATTATCATTTCAATATGTAATGAATATAAAAATTGTTAATGGGATATATCACCTTTTTCATATTAAGTTTTTGAAATTTGGTATATATACTTAAACCAAATATATAGTATACATGTAGTAACATATATAATAATAAGTAATATATACTATATTATATAAGTAATATATACTATATTATATAAGTAATATATACCATATTATGTAAGTAATATATACTATAGTATATAAGTAATATATACTATAGTATATAAGTATATAAGTAATATATACTATAGTATATAAGTAATATATATACTATATACTACATATATAATACATAATAGTATAATAGTATAATATATATATTACTTATATAGTAAGTATTATAATACTATATACATATATATTAGAAGTAATGTATATACTATACATAAGTATATAAGTATTATTTATATACTATAGTATATACTATAGCAAACATACAGAACGTCTCAATTTGGACAAAGTACATTTCAGGTAGTCAGAAGCTACCTGTGAGTAGTGGTTACCATATTGAACAATGCAGATCTAGAGACTGGATGGTAAGAAGTGTAACTGCCTTCCCCCCACCACTCAGCTTCCAAAACCCTGACAGGTAAGTTATGTCTTTCAGTTAGGAGATTAGGGGTTTTCTCCCCTGGAGAATTTAAATGGCTTAAGGGTACAGACTAATATACCAACACTGATGGGTATCCCAAGGAAACTACCCAGCCAAGTCACCCAAAATGAAGTCCATTTATTGACAACTCCCTCCTTCCCTGACCTCATACAGTACTTACTATGATATTTTTAGTGTCTCATTATTAACATGAAGAAAAAGGCAAATATCTTGAGGTATTATTCTCTGAAATGAAAAATAAAGACCAAAAAACAAAAGTAAAAATAAACTTGAGAGAAAAAGAAAAAAATTTGAGGAAAAAGACACAATCTAGGGATAAAACACTAAGACATCAAAGGACTTTAATATTCTCATAGAGATAAGAGAAGATATGGTATCAGGTAAGACAAATAAGATGCTATAAAAAAGTAATTTGCAATTATAAATAGAACTTTAGGAAATTAAAAATGATGATAACAGAAATAGAAGCCTCAGTAGAAAAACCAAATGAAAGCTGAGCCATATCTCCAGGAAAAAAAAAAAAAAAAAGACAAGTATTGGAAATTAGGAGAGAAAAGGTAAGGAAATTGGAAGTTCAGTCCAGAAAGTTCAGCACCAGAATAACAGAAAGAAGAAACAGAAAAAACAGTAGGGAGAAGGTTATCAAAGAAATGATTACAGAACATTTGTTTCCTAGAATATAAAGACAGGAGTCTCTGGATTGTTCTGGGCTTACCACTACGATACTTGGAAATAGAACCACACCAAGGCACATCAACAGGAAACCAACAACACTGGAGCAAACAGAAGATCTTAAAATCTCCCAGACAGAAGGAAAAAAACAGGCTCAAACAACTAATCAGGAATCAGAATTTCATTGTTGCTTTTCCTCAAGGACAACCCAAGAAGCTAGAAGACAATTGAGGAATGCCTTCAAAATGTTGAGGGAAAATGCTTTCTGACTGAGCATTTTATGTAAAGCCAAAGTGTCCCTCAAACGAAAGGGTAGAATTAAGAGGGTTTCACACATCCAATGCCCCCCCCCCCCAATTTACCTGCCATGAATTTTAATTCAGAAAGCAATTAGAAGTGATAGCCCCCTACAAAAAGGGAGTAACTCAGGAAAGAAGATGACACGTGATTCAGGAACCCAGTGTCTGGTTGGAAAGAGGGGCCAAGGATGTGACCCAGATGATAAGAAAGGAAGCTCCCAGGGCCACAGCTGTGAAGTAGGCCTGGAGGGCAAGCGGGAGTTCAGAGCATATGGGAGAGAGGTGGCTTAGATGATAAAATTGATCGAGTGCCTGTGTGGTTTAATGTATTGAGAGGAGATTTCACTCTTTGGTGGAGAGTTTGGGGATGAGTAATATAAATGCATAGTAAACTACACAAAGGAAAAAAAATGGGAAAACAAGCACCAAGGAAAACAAAAATAGTATCAAGAAAGAAAATGTAAATAGTTCAGCTATGAATAAAATTTATAAAAATGAAATAAACTAAATATTCAATATTGAGCTACACAAAAATGATGATATAGTTAACAGTGTTAGAGAATGGGAAGAAGGGAGTATATGAGTGAGTGTGTGTGTGTGTGTGTGTGTGTGTGTGTGTGTGTGTGTGTGTGTTCACATGCACATGCATACGCTAGATGGGGGTTGGCAGCTATTTCCTCAAGGGAGAATCAGTTGATGGTGATGCCCAACCAAAAGTAAAACTAAACAAAATACACTCATTATTAGAGGTAACTGAGTTAAGTAACACAAAAAGCCTGTAAATGCCTTGAAGATTTTTACCTCTGAGAATTTGGGCATGGGGGTAGGAGGGAGTTGCTATTTTTCAGAAGACTCTTTATAGAACTTTCTGGGTTTAAAAGTGTGTAGAGGTAGGGGCTCCTGGGTGGCTCAGTTGGTTAAATGCCTGACTCTTGATCTCGGCTCAGGTTCATGAGATGGAGCCCTGCGGCAGGCTCTTTGCTGACAGCGCAGAGCCTGCTTGGGATTCTCTCTCTCTCTCTGCCCCTTCCCACCCTTGCACGCATGAGCTCTCTCTCAAATAAATAAACATTTAAAAAAATGTGTGGATCTAAAACTTTGATGTCAGTAGTTAAAAAGATAAAAGCAAGTACAGGTTTTTGCATAAAATGTATACACAGAAAATGTAGGGTTACTTGTTATTTTGCATGAGCACAAGTTCTGTGGCCAGATTTCTCAGGTTCATATCTTGCTTCTCTCACTTGCCAGCCATGTGACCTTGCACAAAAGTTACTCTTGGTCAAGATGTCTCAATTTTCTATTATTTACATAGGTTTCTACTTCAAAGGACTGTTGCAAGGATTAAATGAACAAATAATACTTACTAATCATTGCTAGCAAAATGGTTAAGTGCTCAATAAACACTAGCTATCACAGGTTCCATTGACCTGTAAACTGCATCAGAAAATACTTTGAAATGTAGTGAAAACTTTGTAGAACTGATAGGCAATATGGGAAAAATAAGATTGCTTTCCCATAATGCCTTACTTTTGTTCTTAGAAAATATGTACAGCAGTCATGTCTATTTCCTTTCTTCTTCAAGGTTTTATAAAAACATCCCTTTGGGTGGAGATTCCCTGGGCGTGCATAGCTCGATCTGGGAATACATTCATTTTAAAGCTGAAGTAAATGGGAATATTGATCAGAAGTAGATCTGAGAGAGTGACCTAGACTCCAACTGTTCTAAATCATACCATGACTCCCCAGACCTGTCCAACCGTCTCCTGGAGACTCACGGTCCATTAATACCTGAAGCAGAACTTTTGGTTTAAAATGTTCAGTGTAACTCCAGTCCATTAAACTGCGTTGTTGCGTTTTCTTTATGTCCTCCAGGTCTGCTTCCACAGTCATCTTCTTGGGTTTCTAAAAAACCATAGGAGTACAATTTCAGCTTTAATTTGTTCAAGTCCAAATGGAGCCCTCTTGGACTCCATCGACTAACCAGCATGCACTCCATTTTAATTGGGGAAATCTGCATATGTATAAATCCATATGGCAACATTTTAGGAGAGCTGCTGCCAGAAAGAGTATGCCTTTGAGTTTTTTTTTTTTTTATGGGCAACATAATCTAAATATTTTTATTGTTAGGTTATACTCTTCTGAGTCCTGTTAGCAATTATAGGCAGGTTTTCTGAACTCACTTCAAGACAGCATTAGTTCTACATGGCTGTATGGTCAGCAGGTGTTTGTGAGGTTGCCAAGCCACACTGTCTAGAGAGGAGCATGGAGCTTGGAAGTTTTGCTTAAGCCGCTAGTGAAATTAACTCCTTTCTCTCCAGTTGGAGCTGGTCTGAGGATGTCCGAGTAATCCCCTTCCTTATCCTGCTAAGCATCTCCTTTGTGTGTGTGTGTGTGTGTGTGTGTGTGTGTGTGTGTGTGTTTCTCACTCTGGGTCACAGTTTTCTCAGATCATCTTACTTGTATCTACACTTATAGGAAAACAATTCCTTACCTTTTCAAGAGGATCAGCCTTTGTGACTGCTTCATCTTTGATCTCATTGTTCGTGGTCTGTTCTGTAAATCAAAGACACCAACATCCAGTTGTGTTTGGGCTTTGTTCTTGCCTTTGTCAGTGCTGTGCCTTTTTGTTGCCCATATGATCTATGTTTCTGTGCTGAAAAGGTAATTCCTGAAAGGCATGTTTCATGCCTCCAAAAAGGTGTTTGTGTCAATAATTCTAAATCAGTGTCTACCTAGAAAAGTTATACTAAACCCTTGGAAAAGAACCCAGCTTCCTCTATGATACATTCCTAAATCATATCAGATAATTATGCCTTCAGACTATCTCCCTCACTTCTAAAAATGTACCTTTACCTTTATGAGTTGCAAATATTCGCTGATTAAACTACAGCTCTTGTGATTCTGAATCTGTCATATAGAAATGGATAAACTATATAGCACATTCCCAGTTTGACCAAAGAAATGGAGTGGGTGATGAATCTTGGGGTAATGTATTTGTGATGCCGCTGAATAACTGAGCCAACATGGCTTTTTACCAACCTTAGAACGACAGCAAATTAATCGCTGCATAGTCATATATAAAATGGTCCCACCTTCACTCTCCAAACACATCCCTTCCACTCGCGTTTTGCTCCTTCCTCTCCAGGCTCTCCAGCTTGCTTGCTGTGTCTTAAAGTTTTTACACTTGCCATTCATTCTGTCTTGCTTTGCTTTTAGATAATCACTTGGTTCAAACCCTTATTTCATTCATATTGTTACTCCAATGTCATCTCTTCCAGGGCTTTTCTGCCTTTCACCCTGTTGTATTTTTAATCATGGCATTTACTAGCATCTGATAATATTTACTTGTGTCTATCTCTCCATCTTGGATGTGAATTCCTGGAGAATAAGAACCTGCTCTTATTTTCTGTAACTGTACCCCGAGTGCCCAGCACATGGTGGGACTTCAGTACAGTTCATTCTGATTGAATGAGGAAAATCTATATCATATAATAAAACCGGAAATGTATCTAAAGCCATACAGAGAGAGAAGAACTGTGGAAGAAACCCAAAACAAAGGCTTATTTTAGGGTAAGCATAAGATTCAGCTTCATTCTGTGGCAAAGAGAACTGTATCTACACCTCTAGCGGGAGTAGTTAATCATGTCTACCAAGGATAGACCAATGTTTTTCTTTCTTTTAGGAGCATAGCTACTTACATTTTTGCTACTAGTTTCATCTTGCCTTGGGCTGGTGAAGGTGATGGCATGAATGTTCCATTTTGATTTAGGGGAAAACTATAAAGTCAATTCAGTTCAGTATTTATATAAATACATCTACTCAAGAGAAAACTCGGGCCAACTATAACTCTAAATAGACCATGATGTCCCTTGTGTCCCTAAAGCAATTGATATGAAATCTGTGGAATAAAAATTATTCTATTCTGTGGTCTGCCAGATTTCCGGGAGATTTGATATTCCCTCCTGTGTCTAAGGATCCAGCAGAAAAAGTCTCCAGTTTAGAAAATATGTTTTAAAAAACTGTGCATCAGTTATTTTGTCAAAGGAAAGAACATTCTAAAACCAATCTGAACTCTTTATTTAATAGTAGAGTAAAAATCATTTTTTCCTTTCTTTCTGATTCTCCCTTCAACCCCATAATCCTTTGACAGTGTGATTCAGTAGTTTTTGACACATCTGGAAATGGATGCTTTCTCATCCCTTTGAAAAACAGCTTTCCTAATCTGTTTTACTTTAGAGATAACAAGATCCCTCTGCAAAGCAGTTACTTTATTAAAAAAACACCCAACAAGCATAGAGGGCACATCTAAACCCATAGCCTCACGGTTATCAACTCTCAGGTTTTTCATAAATATCCAATAGGCCCTGTCAAGTTCAAAAACAGTCTCAGATGGAAATCCAGTGTTTGGTTAAGAAAAGCACAAATATTCAGTCCTTCACATCCAGCAACAGGTTTTTATATGTATTTGATGCTAAGATGGTTTTGCAGGAAATACGTGAACAATTTCTGCTTTGTTTCAAACGATTTCAAGTGGCTGCTTTAGAAGTACGATTCAGAGTCGGGGGGGGGGGGCACGCAAGACCAACAACAAGTTCCCTTAGACACAGCAGCCATCATGGGGCACCAAAGCTCAGCCACCCTCCCCTGTCTAACTGTAACAGTTCCTTGATGGGGGTCAATACACACCCTATAGGATCCTTTACAGGTTGTGGGGGTTCAGCTCTCAAGGATTGCTCCGTCTCTAGGACACACTATCCATTATAGCATTTTTAGCCCCGAAGATTTAGAGTTGCTCAAATCATCTACTTTCCACCAGGATTTGGAACGCTAATTTACATGGTCTGACCACCAGGTGGCAAAAGTTGCCTGAAGAAAACTATATACCAGTTGCTCTTCTAAAGAAAAGAACAAAACACAAAGGAAAAAACCTTAGGCCTTATATCTCTCCTGGCTTATTCTGGATCCATATTAACACAAAGTGACTTCTTTGTCATACATTTACATTCCCACAGGATGCACTAATGCCATAAAATCCCAGATTAACTTATTTGGCTTAATTATTTCTGTGAGCTAGGCTAATACGTAAGGGCACTTAGAACAGAGAAATAGGAAATCAACCCTTTTGGGAAGTAAGACCCAATGGTAATAAAATCGAGTTAAGTATCAGCATAAAGAAGAGCCCATGAGTGTGGCTAAGCCCATAGACAAGAAATTTCTGGAACCGAGGAAGCCACAAGACACAGCACTGGTTTGGAGTTAGCTCTCTGTTGGAATCCTGACTTCCTCCTACTTGTATGTAGTTGAACAAGTTACTTAACCCCTCTGGTCTTCAACTCCTTGTCTTTAGAATTGGGATAATAGTATCTTACTCATAGACTTGAAGTTTATATTGAATACTAGTTAATATATGTAAAATGTCTTAGCATAGTGCTTGGAATATAGCAGGGCATTACTAAAGAAATGTTATATCCTTCTCTCCTCTGTCCCCCTCACCCTCACTTATCTGCTCTACTAATCAGCAATCAGATTTTCCCTAATTCTACTCTATCAATGACTTCCTCTTTTACCCTCATCTAAGTAAATGAAAATGGCAAGATGACTATTCGGTCAATACTGACTTGGGGCTCCTGGGGGGCTCAGTCAGTTAATTGTCCAGCTCTTGATTTCTGCTCAGGTCATGATCTCATGGTTTTTGAGATTGAGCCCCATGTTGGGCTCTGTGCTGACAGCATAGAGCCTGCTTGGAATTCTCTCTCTCCCTCCCTCTTTGCCTCTTTCCTGCTTGAGATCTCTCTCTCTTTCTCACAAAATAAATAAATGTTTAAAAAAATACTGACCTCACATCTGTTCTCTTATGGCACTGATGACTTACTTTTGTTTAATGCTTTTTAAAATTATGAGTTATAACACATACAGAGAAGTACATAGAACAGAAATGCTTAGTATCGTGAATAATGATAAAGTTCCAGCACTGCAGACATTTTATGTGTGTCCTTTTATAACCATGAACTCCTTGTTAAACTATCATATTAATCCTGATTTTTTTGTGTGGATCATTTTGGGTTTTCTACATACACAATATTTACAAATAGTAATAGTTTTGTTTCTTCCTTTTCAAATCTTACATTTTCATCTCTTTTTCTTACCTTACTGAGTTGGCTAGCATCTCCAATGTAATACTGAATACAAGTGTTTATAGTATATACCTTCCTGGTGTCAAGGGAAATCTTTCAACATTTTATCTTGATATATAATGATTGTTGTAGCAATTTAAGAATAAACTTTACAAGGTAGAAAATTTTTCCTTCTGTTGTTAGTTTGGTAAGTTTTTTTTTCATGAATTTCTAGAGTTTTAAGTGCTTTTTCTGCATCAATTGAGAATGATTATATAATTTTTCTCATTAGTGTGTTAATTGATAAATTATATTGATTTTTACAATGTATGTTTTTTCTCTATTCCTGTTATAAAAACAACTTGCTTGTGATGTATTAGCATCATTTTGTATATTGCTAGATCAGCTTACGTATGTTTTATTCAGGATTTTTGCATCTGCATTCATGAATCTGTTTGATGTATAATTTTCTTCTGTAGTACTATTGTTGACAGTTTGATTTTAAGGCTTATGCTAGCTTCCTAAAATGAGTAGGAATGGATACACTTTTTTTTATTTCTGGAAATAATTTTTAAGGTCAAAATTATTTCTTTTTTGAGTGGTATCACTAGTAAATAAGAATATTTGCGTTGGGTGTGTCCTTTTGGGGAGGATTTTTATATTTTTATTTATTTATTTTATCTATCTATTTATTTTTATTTGAGAGAGATAAAGAGAGCACAAACTGGGGGGGAGGGGCAGAGAGAGAGAGAGAGAGAGAGAGAGAGAGAAAATCTTAAGTAGGTTCCATGCTCAGCATGAAGCCCAATGTGGGGTCCAATCCCGTGACCCTGGGATAATGACCTGAGTTGAAATCAAGAGTTGGACACTCAACTGACTAAGCCACCCAGGCACCCTGGAGGATTTTTAATTATTGATTTAATTTATTTAAACAATTACAACACTATTTCTTCTTGAGTCACTGTTGGTAAGATATACTTTTCTAGTCATTTGCTCATTTCATTCTTATGTTTAGTGGAATAAAGTTGCTCGTATCCTCTTATTATCTTTTACATTTCTGTAGGATCAGAAAAGAGTGTGTTTCTTTATTCCTATTGATTTTTATTCCTGTTATTATTATTTATGCTTACTTTCTATGTGATCAGCCTTTTCTAAAAAAAATAATTTATCAATTTTAAAAGTCTTTTCAAAGAACCACACTGTTATATTATTTGTTCTTCCTTGTTACATCTATATTTTATATCTTAATAATTTACTCTTATTTTATTTTCTTCCTTTTACTTTATTTGGATTTATTTTGTTCATCTTTATCTAACAACTTGAGGCTGATGTTTGGCTAATTAATTTTTAGCTTTCTTTTTAAAAATGTATTCCTTTAAAGCTGTGAACTTCTCTCTGAGTATCCCTTGCTTTAGCTGCATTATAGAAATCTTAATATTCAGTATTTCCATTACTATTCAACTTGAAATATGTCTTAATTTCTATTGTGACTTTTTCACTGAGTGAGGTGTTTTGCAGAAGTATATTTCTTAATTTGGAAATTTTAGGTATTTTCCCGTTATTTTTTTTGTAACTAATGTCCACCATAATTTCACCGTGGTATGAGAATATACTCTGTAGTTTTGATCCTGTGAAAATTTGCTGATACCTGTTCTATGGCCCAGCATACAGTTAATATTTTTAAGATAAGCATACCTGTGACCCTTAAGAAGCTATAGTATTATGGAAACTTAATACAGACGTATGAATAATTGTAATAAGCAGTAGGAAATGATCATTAATGTTATAAAGGGAGCACAGATTAACTGTGACCACAGGAATGCTAAGGGAGTCATTTCTAGCTGGACACATCTAACAAGGCTTCATGGAGGTGCCACTGAAACCTAATTGTAATAAAAAAGAAAGCTCTAGGCGAAGGGTATTGTGGAGGAAAGACACAGATTGAAAACAGCAGGCTGTGTAGAGGAAATAGAGCCTAATTCTGTTTGGCCAGAGCATGGGATAAGTAAGCAAAAGGGAAAAAGTGGAAAAGATTTTGGAAAAGTAATTTGGTACGACTGGAGACGCATGGTACAGCAGGCCAAAAAATTAGGTTCTATTAGTAGGGAGCCATTGAATGTTGTAAGCAGGAAACTAACAGCTGTATTTTAAGTGATTAATCTGACAGCTATGTATAAGATTGCTCAGTAAATTTAGCCTAATAGTCTCCTATGCTTCTACACTTCCTAATATAACATTTATGATGCTATATTCTAATTTTTTAATGTGTTTTTTTTTTGTGTTTTGTTTTGTTTTGTTTTGTTTCATTTTGAGAGAGAGAAAGACAGAGCATGAGCAGGGGAGAAGCAGAGACCGAGGGAGACACAGAATCTGAAGCAGGCTCCGGGCTCTGACCTGTCAGCACAGAGCCTGATGCGGGGCTCGAACTCATGAACTGTGAGATCATGACCTGAGCCAAAGTCGGATGCTTAACTGACTGAGCCACCCAGGTGCCCCTATGATGCTATATTGTAGAATAAGAGTCATTACCTGAGCTATAAGGAGGAGAGAAAGGGAATCGGTGTTCTTCACTGAGCATTGATTTTGTACCAAGCTCTGTAGTAGGCAGTTCACTATCTTATTGCAGGTAGTTTTAAAATAATTTTTCATATAATCACAATAACCCTATGAAATACTAATGAGGAAAGTTTAATTACGTTCACCTCACTATATTTACTCAGGTAAGAGTGCGCTAACAAGCTTTAGGATATTTTAAAAACAAGGGTTGGAATAACAAGGACTCACTCAGTAGCAAAGTTTAATTAACCAAATACCTTAGAGGTTAAATAGTTTTTCAATTGAAACAGGGGGGCATTTAAATTTAGATAATGTTTCTTTTTTAAATTTTAAATTTATTTACTTGAATTCAAGTTCATTAACATACAGTGTAGTATTGGTTTTCAGAAGTAGAATCCAATGATTCATCACTTATAGGTAACACCCAAGGCTCATCCCAACATGTGCCCTCCTTAGTGCCCATCACCCATTTAGCCCATCCCCCCACCCAATACCCCTCCAGCAACCGCCAGTTTGTTCTCTGTATTTAAGCGTCTCTTATGGTTTGCCCGCCTCTTTGTTTTAGTCTTATTTTTCCTTCCCTTCGCCTACATTCATCTGTTGTGTTTCTTAAATTCCACATATGAGTGATAATGTTTCTTGAATCATTTTTTGGATTAATACATTCTATAATAGTGTCTACACACACACACACACACACACACACACACACACACGATTACTCACCTGACAGCGCAGACTGGCACTGAGTCCTCAAGCTGGTCTCCTGCTCTGACAGCTCTATATTTTCATAGTCTAAGGGTTCCTTGCTGTTTGGGTCAGACTGCTTCATTTTGTTAGAACCAGACCGACTAGGGTCTGAAGGTTCTTTACTGACCTCATCCTCTTGCGCCAACATTGACCAATTCTGATCCACAAATAAAATTCTGTCTTTGGCTTCAGTATCTAGTCAGTTTAAAGAGACTCCATCAGACACAATGCTAGAAAAATCAACAATCATAAAACAGAAGAATGCTTTTGGTTCCCTCCACGCACAGTACCTGTTTGGTGTTTGGCCTCTTGGGTATTCATTTTCATGATGTATTTCTGCCTTATCTGTTTAGCAAATCTGGCAGGGTTGTCCCACGGTATGTTGGACATCTCAGAATCTGTTCCATACATCATCCCAGAAGGCATTAGTATGCCTTCTTCATTAACCTCAGAGAGTTTCAGGCTCTCAAAAGTAAACACTTTGAAGGCTCGTTCTACTTCATTCCAGCTCAAGACTTCTGTAAGAAAGCAAGAACTATATGCTGCTAGGAATGCTCTTATTACCACATGGTACAGGGCTGACAGAGGGGCGCCCAGAGGGTCTGTCCACCGCAATGACAAGGCAGTCATATCATGATGGGTGTTGACCTGACTCTAAACATGGGCTCCACAGTTCTGCAACAAATGTCAATAGTGCCTAATAATAAGAAAGCTGCACAATCAAGGTATAATCTATCAGGATAATGTTCACAAACTGCTTCATAGCTTAATCAGTATTAGGTGTATTAGTATTAATTCACATGGATTCTCCAGGGTACCATATTGATTGAATATGTTTAAAACTTATGATTTGTAAGCAAAAGCACCTTTGCCACTGTTATAATTTGAAACAAACTACTCACTTGTGTCTAACTGTTACATTCACTAGGTTTTACTGACCCTTAGGTCTCAGAAAAGGCCTTTTTTCAGCCACTTGAACTGGTGGGTGAAAATAATAATTGCACTTCAAAGGTTATCAGCTTTCAATTGGCCCTATTCATTTGTGCTTTTTTTTAATTTTTTTTCTTAATGTTTTTATTTATTTTTGAGACAGGAAGAGACAGAGCATGAGCAGGGAAGGGGCAGAGAGAGAGGGAGACACAGAATCGGAAGCAGGCTCCAGGCTCTGAGCCACCAGCACAGAGCCCGATGCGAGGCTTGAACTCACAGACTGTGAGATCATGACCTGAGCCGAAGTCGGACGCTCAACCGACTGAGCCACCCAGGCGCCCCTCCATTTGTGCTTTTATTCTCTTACAGTATTTAGTTCATCCATCCACTTACTCACTCACTTACCTGCTCACTCATTTTGTTTTCTAAGTATTAGGCTTTGTCATAGATGCCTCAGATTCAAAGAAAAGATTTGGTTCTTGCACTTTAGAAGTTCAAACTAGAGGGGTATGAGGTAGGTATTAGCAAATAACCATGGGATGCAATGAGGAAAAGTAAAATGATAGTGGCAGATCAATGATTCTGGGGTAACCTCTGCTTTTTCTCCAATAGAACTAAGGGCATGTGTTTTTGGAGAAATCATGAGGAAATTCAGAAGAGAAACAGGGAAGGGGGAAAAGTTACAGAACTAAAGAAGGTTTGCTCATTCATTCATTTTGCAAATATCTTTTGAGCACATATTAGTGGGCAAGGAGTATAGTAAAAGCTGTGACCACAGCAGTAAACTAAGCAGTGAACTCCTGGTCTTATGGAGTATCCATTTTGGTGACTGGAAACAGGGTAAACAGAGAAGTGTATACCATATTAGAGATGATAAGAAGGATAAAGCCAGGAAGCCAGGTGAGGGGATAAAAAGTGACAGCGATTGGGGAGGGGCTTTATATATATATATATATATATGTAAGGTAGAGAAGTGGGAGAGCAAGTTCTGTGAATATCTATCTGGGAGAAAAAGTGATAGACACAGGAGAAAGAGTAAGTGCAAAGACCCTGAGGCAGTGGGGTGACCAACATGTTCAAGGAATCACAGTGAGGCCAACGCAGATAGAATGGAGTGGAACAGCGAGAGCTTCACAGGTGATGAGCTCAAAATATGGATGGCAGAAGAGTCTAGATTGTACTTTGAGTGACATGGGTGGCCACTAAAGAATTTTGAGTTAAAGAGGCACATGGTCTAACATTTTAGAAGGATGATTCCAGTTATTGCATGAAGCAAAGGCTAGGTAAAAAGGTGAAAGGCTGTAGACCAACTGGAAAACTATTGAAATAGCCCAAGCGAGAGGCGATGGTGGACTGGGCTGGCATCACGGAGGGATGCGGTGGGATTGGTTGTGGGGCATAAGAAAAAAAGAGGAATCAGAAATGACTTGCAAGGTTGTGGAAGAAAATAGTTGCCATTTACTGAAATAAAGAAGACTGTGAAGGGAGAAATTCTGGGGAGTCAAGAGTTCGGTTTTGGATCTGGTAAGTAAGAAGTGCTGAGGGAGGGAAGAGAAGAGGAGAAGCAAGGGTTTGGGATGAAACCCATAAGTGGGATGTGTGTGAAGTTGCAATGGTGGCAACAGACGCAAGAATTCTACGCTGCGTGTAGGACGAGGTAGAGAGAGAATGGAGGCAGAAGAGGAGGTGAGGTGTGGCAGCACACAGACAAAGGACAGATGTTCTCAGGAACATCAGGAAGAGAGTGATTATGTCAACAATGGTCTCCACATGCCCAGGCCAGCAGGCTATCCCCTAATTTTCCATGAGGAGACGGCATGACAGTATTCAAAAGATTTTGGTTTTTTCTCTGTTATTAGGCTTACTTAAAAGTTAAAGAAGAAATCGAGATGAAAATATTTCATGATTTGCTTAAGGGGAGAAACTGAGGTGCTTTTTCTCTTCTCTGGGTCAAATGCTTTCTTGTCCAATAAAAGTGTCTATGCCATTTCATATTCCTTTTTCTTTCTTTTTTTTTTTTTATTTTTTTAATGTTTATTTAGTTTTGAGAGAGACAGAGACAGAATGTGAGTGGGTTGGGGCAGAGGGAGAGGGAGACACAGAATCCGAAGCAGGCTCCAGGCTCCGAGCTGTCAGCACAGAGCCCGATGTGGGGTTGGAACTCACAAGCTGTGAGATCATGACCTGAGCCAAAGTCGGACACTCAACTGACTGAGCCATCCAGGAGCCCCTCATATTCCTTCTTATAAGTAGGAATCTATCTGCAGATTGCCTCAAGTAGAGATAAAGATTTTTAAGGAAATGATTGTATCTCAAATCTCAGTGAACTCTGCAATGAGAAGCTGATTTTAGATTCTCCAAATTACCTCCAAGAGCATAAAATGGCCCCTCCCCTTGCGAGAGGAGGTGAACCTGAATGGACACACTCTCAGCACCACACCGCCAGGGGGCTCCCTACTCAGTGCTTTAACCTCAGATAGAGATCACCATGTCTTCTCCAATGATGCCAAGGAGGGGGTGGCGAGCGGGGAGAAGGAAGAAAGGAGCAGATTATTCTTGTAATGGAAACACGATGGAAAGAAAACCCAGTGTATCAAATTGAAGAATGTTATGCATCACAGCTATCACGCTATCGCTAATGACATTATCCAAGGTAAGAAAATCAAAATACCCACCTCAGTCTCTGAAAGGTCTTTAAGTAATCAAAATACTTTTTGCAAATAGGAGTGTAATCTTAAGAAGCACATATGACCATAAATGAATGAGTTCAAGCTAAGACAAAGAACGTACTCACCATTTGTACAGAAGTGCATGAGCTCATGAATTGTAGCTAGACGCTTAGTGCTGTTCCATGGCGGGGGCAGAGGGAATTTAAGGAATTCCCACAGTGGCAACTTGGACTGCATCTCCTGCTCAATTTGAACTGGGTCAAAATTCTTTTGGCCCTGATGAAAAAGCGCAACATGACAGAAGACATTAGAGTAAGCTGTCAAGTGCCTTATGCATATGGAGAAGGCAAAACCTGATACCTTCGCTCTCATTATTTGGGAACAGGGGAAATCAATGGTAATTGGGGAAGACAAAGTGTTGGTATTTTGCTGAAGGTCGAAAAAGCTCGTTCTCACTTTGCCAGAGGTTCCTGGTGCACAGAAATGATGGATTCTTCACTCGCTGTGACAAACTGCCAAAGTCTCATATGTATTCATCTCTCCCTTCTGGGATTCTTCTTTGGCCTTCACTAGTTTTTCACATTAGTAAGATATTTAAAGCCAGTAACTAGAAGGTTTTAATGCGAATTTGGTGTACTCAAATCAGTTTTTTAAAACGTTTACGTATTTGAGAGAGAGACAGAATGCAAGTGGGGCAGGGGCAGAGAGAGAGAGAGAGAGAGAGAGAGAGAGAGAGAGAGAGAACCCCATGCAGGCTCTGCACTGTCAGTGCAGAGCCTGATGCAGGGCTCAAACTCATGAACTGCGAGATCATGACCTGAGCTGAAGTCAGACACTTAACCGACTAAGCCATCCAGGTGCCCCAGTGTACTCACAATCAATTTAATGGCTAATTGGACCCTTATAATTAGGCATGTTTTCTTCGCTCCTTTATGTGTCTCTATTTTCAGAGGTCTCACTTTGCAAGCCCTTTGAATGTTACTTTTAATTAGCATTGGTAAAACTAACTGCAATTTCTTCAACTGAATAATTACAAATGGGCTTTCTTGCATCCCTTCTCCTCTGGGCAATCCAGTTTTATTACCTTCAGTGCGTACTTCTTGTGGGCATGTGCATCATGATAGTTCAGTAGGAGAGGGCCTTTGGGCACTGCTCTGCTTTCATGTTCTTCTTCGGATAAGAATATTTCATGGAGGTTCTATTCAAATTGAAATACATTGACTTAAAAAGAGAATCTGTACTTTTTCAAAGCATGCAAACTCTTTGGATATCTCATGCCATCTGACCTTTTGCTCCCTCTCCGTGAGACAGAGAGAGGGCAGGATGGACACAATATGAGCGGCGATTCTGTGGTCCAACCCATCTGTTCTGGGATGTGGCTGCACCAGACTTGGTGGGACAAGGTCTTCTTCAGTTGCCACAACCTGTTAAAATGAACAGGTGGGAGGATTCGGTTTACGGATACAGTAAAGACAAGGCGGATCCTACCAGTAAAGTACAGTGATGACACAAAGTGGCAATGTAACTACCAGTGGTTACCAAAACAAAAGGGAAAGTGTTTATAATCCAGGCGCAAAAGTAGATATAATTTTAATGTATGTATTAAAATAGATACCATGAAACGTAAATGGTAAATAGGAAAATTTACTATGGCAGGAGTCAAAATAACCATATAAGAATTTTTTTGTTTCTTAATGATTTGCTCTTTCTCTTAAAGCACTCAAAACTGCTCACATACCCTTTGGGTTCGAGAAGTATTTATTGAATGCCTATGATATGCCAAGCACTGTACGGGGCAGCTTCTCAGCCATTATCTCATTTAAGCACCGCAGCAACATTGTGGAGTAGGTATTTTCTTCATTTTACAGAGGAAGAGCTAAGGTGAGTGAAGTTAGTGACTGGTGCAAGCCCAAGGCCACTGAGTGGGAAGAACTGGGTTCAAATCAAGTCCTCATTCCTTCTTCAAGATAATGACAGATGGTGAGATCAGTCAAGGGTAATAGTCTCCTTTATATGGGGAAACTGAGGTCTAGAAAGATTAAATGGCCTGTTCAATTTTACATGGTAAACAAAAGGAGTTGAAATGTAATCAAGGTAGGCACCTAAATTACAACTTTTCGTGTCACCTTAAATCCTGCAATCATCCTCTGTGATTTCACATCCTTTTATACAGTTTCTCTACCTTGGAAATTGAGACATTTGAATTAGACAGTTACTTGTTGTGGGTTCTGTTTTGTGCAATGGAGAATGTTTAGCCATATCCCTGGCCTGTACCCATTCGATGCCAGTAGCATCCCCTGTAATGGCGATAACCCAAATATCTCCAGACAAATGTCCCCTAGGAGGCAAAATCAGCCGCTGCTGAAAACCACTGCTATAGATGGATAACAAAATAGCCTCATATCCATCACCTTTTGTCAACTCCTTACTTTCAAAAGAGCCACTCATGTCTCCACTTTCTACCTTCTATTGTCTCTTGGACCCGCTCCAATCACAAAAGACCACTCAAAACCATTCTACCTCTGAAATGTCAACCTCTAATATTCTGTCTTGGAAAATTCTATCCCATTCCTCTTATATTTCACCTTTTTGCCATCCCATTATTAAGTATTTTTTTCAATCAACATGTATTATGATTGGGTGCCTTCCTGTGTGAGGAATTGAGGTCATCTGCTGGTGCCTGAAATATGGCAGGTGGTTAATACATGTTTGTTGCTTTGGATTGAGTTGAATAAAATAAGAAAGACTAAGATAAATAAAATGATGATACTGCAAGCTCTAGAGGGCTTTTCAGCTTTTACAAATTTATTAATATAATAAAACTACTGGTCTTCCAGAAACATAATGGGGTAATGAAAGGCAACTGTGAGTATGCTTATCTAAGCAGTCAACATACATAAAATGTATCTTGGAGGTAAACGATGATGGAATCTGAGAAGGACTTTAAAATAAACATTTGAATATTCAGAAGGGTATAGGGATATGTTACATCCATGCACTAAGGACAATAACAAGCAGTTGTAAAAAGAAATTGGAGAATTTATAAATTAAAAACATTTACCCTCGAGAAAAAACTTCAGTAGCAGACTGGACTCCACTGAAGAATGAATTAGTTGGAAGTGAAGCTAGAATTTCCCAAGAAGATAAGACTTATAGAAAATTTAAAAGACAAGGAGGAAAAACCAGAAGTTCCAACATCCATCTAATAAATGGATAAACTAATAGAAAAAATAATATTTGAGGATATATGTATTTATTTATTAAATGTTTTATTTACTTTTGAGGTGGGGGAGGGGCAGAGAGAGGGAGACAGAGAATCCCAAGCAGGATCCATGCCATCGGTGCAGAGCCTGACACAGGGCTCCATCTCACAATGATCATGACCTGAGCCGAAATCCAGAGTCAGATGCTCAACCAACTCAGCCACCTAGATACCCCGAGGATAGATTTAATTCAGCAAATACATATTCAGTGTCTGCTGTGGGTTAAATGTGGTTATCGTGTGCTGGGCATATGGCGGTGAACAAGATTAGAGTTGGGTCCCTGCTTGCATGGAGCTTATATTCTAGTGAGGGGAGGTAGGTAAGACACAAAGCAGGTAAGTTATTTTAAGAAGAGCAGTTGTTGATAAGAGGATTAAACAAAGTGATGTGGTAACAAGCACTCTGTGTTGTCAGGGGATTCCTTTAGATCAGGTGGTGGGAGAAAGACCATGGAATGTCATTTCCACTGGGGAGTGAATGATAAGGAATATCCACCCTTTTGCAGACATGAGGGTCAAAAACTTTCTAGGAAGAGGAGTTGGAGTAAAAAGCTAAGGTGGAATTAAATAGTGTATTTGACCAAAGCCCAGAAAGCCTATGTGGATGATGAGGGGGGTGTGTGGTGGGGGTGGAGGCAGGAGATGAGATGACAGATCAGGCCAGAACCGTGTTTTTAGGGCTTTATGGGCCAGTGTAAGGAATTTTTTATATTATTCAGAATGTAACGGGAAACCAGATTATACTCCTTTAGAGCATTAGTGACAATGATAAAACAAACAAAGCCATACCTGGACATACCTTGTGTTATGAATTATAAAGAGAAAACTCTAATAGCTGCCAGAAAGAAAAAACAGATTACCTACAAAGAAAACGTATCTGACTGACATCAGATTTATAAACAACATTAGAAGAAAGAAGACAAAAAGCGAAGCCATCAAAATACTTTTCCACTCAGATTGACTGGGTTTAAGAGCAATTTCTGACACTGACCACTGGACAAGTTACTTAACCTTTTTATGCCTCAGTTTCCTCATCTGTAAAATGGGGAACAAAAATAGTTTCTGCTTCATAAGGTTGTTCTAAGGATTAAATGAGTTAATTTATAACAACTCTTTTCAAATACATCTAGAAAACTCACAAGAATTGACCACATATATCAGGTCACATAGGAAGTTCAGGAAATTAAAAAACATTTTTTTAAGACGCAGACCATCTTTACGGCCCATAACACAATAAAATTCGGAACTGACAGTAAACAATGGAAAATAAAAGATTTAGAACTGAATAGATTGAAAGCATCAAGATACAGCCAAAGAAATACTCAAAGGAAATGTGTGGCTTTAAGTAAAGCAAAAAGCCTGAAAATAAATGAAATAAGCTTTCAATTCAAATGAAATACAAAATAAAGAAAGTAGAAAGAAGGAAATAATAAAGATAAATGAAAAAATTAATTAAACAAAAAGTAAAATGAAAGTTGGTCAATGAAACAAAATGCTGGTACTTTGAAAAGACCAATACAATAGATATACCACTGACAACCATGATCAAGAAGACAGAAGAGTAAAATAAATAACATCAGTCATAGAAAAGGAACATAACCAGATGCAAAGGAAACTTTAAAATGTGTGTAAGTGAACAAAGAACTTTATGTGATATTGGGGCGCCTGGGTGGCGCAGTCGGTTAAGCGTCCGACTTCAGCCAGGTCACGATCTCGCG